TAGTCTTACTACCACTAGTACGACTACGACTACGACTACGACTACGACTACGACTCGACTACGATTACGACGACGACGACGACGAGGACGACGACGACGACGACTACTACTACTAGTACTACTAATATAGTACTACTACTATAGTACTAGCACTAGTAATAGTAGTATTAGTAGTAGTCGTAGTATTTGTAGTAGTCGTAGTCTTAGTAGTAGCGGTAGCAGGTCGTGCTAGAACTAATCGATAAAAAGTTTTCTCGACTGAAGTAGTCGATAAAATTTTTTATCGACGACTTCCCCTAAACCCGAATCCCCTAAACCCTAAAGCCCTTATGAACCCTTAACCTTAAACCCTGAACCCTAAACCTTAAACCCTGAACCGTAAACCCTAAAAAAGCTCCTCCACGGCCGACCAGCACAGGAGCAGCAAGGTTCCGGTGAACTCGAACTTCTGGGCAGTGTGGCCCCAGGAAACCCATCTTTTGTTCTCAAAGGAGGAGGAGGTTCTCCTGCGATGCAGAACTCGGTCACGTGCTCATGCGACAGAAACAAAACAACAATTGGGAAGCCCCCGTCTTGCAGAGCTCGCCCACGATGCTGACTACTCGATCGAAGGAGAGCTGTTCATCGTCTGAGGCACAGAAGCCGTGCCTCGGTGAGGGATGCTATGCAAAGCGCAGAGAGGCCAAACAAATGCAGACGAGAGTCTCCTCGAGGATGGATTGCTGGAAGACTTGCTGAAGCATGTCTTCTGGGTGTGCCTGGGCATGGGAAAGTGCAGGATTAAAAGGAAATTAGCAGAGGGCACTGAGATTTCACGGGGAGAAGCAGGACCACTTCACGAAGGCCTGCTGGCGAAGTTAGGGTTGAGGTTTAGGGTTTAGGGTTTGTAGCGAAACCTGCAGTCTATGGAGTCTGCAGCACGGTCTTCAATCCAGGAGCTCCTGCCTGTCTTGAAAGCTAGGAAATCTGGCTCTTCACACTGCGGTGGCAGAGGCAATGGTTGTGGCTTCTGCGGCAGAGGAAGTGCTTCACGAAAAGATTCACGGGCTGGGACGACATTGCAGACCAGGCACGACCTCCAGGTACCTCAAACCGGCACTTCTCCATGCACCGCCCACTTTGGCCGTAGACCAAGGGGCACGACGTGCCCTCATCAAGAAGGTTGTGAGATCGTGCATGCCTGCAGGCTGCACGACAAGAAACGAAGCCAGATCTGAGGATCTTAATTAATGCTGTCCAGGGACGACGGACCCGGGGCGTGCAGGCCAGAATTTTGAGATGATGTGCATGGAGTTTGTGCCTGACAGCTGCAACGAACAGGGCAGCGGCCGGAAACACGGCGGTGGGAACCGTAGCATGCAGTATGTCAGCTTGGAGACGAAAATGCGGCCAAGATACAGTTCATCCCGTGTGAGGTGCATGGGCAGGCCGTGCTGTGCACAGAAGCTTTGTGCACAGTAGAGCGGACCTCCTTCATCTGCTTGGATGGTGACCCGCAGATGGTCTTCTTTGCACGGGTTTGGCAGGCAGTCCCAGGTGCTCTGCCCTGTGTTCTTGTTCCACAAGTAAGGAGTACTACCCACCTTGAGTCGGATTTCACTCTGGGGATCCAAAGGTCGCAGGCGCTTGCACGGCATCTCCAGGGGCAGTTCGAGAAGCTCCATGACGTGACCGAGGGCCCGAAGCTGCTCGCGTGAGGCGAGTTTTGTCTGCTTGAGGCGGGCGAGCTCCCTGGGCCTCAGATCATGAGCACCCACTCCTTTTCCGGAGCAGCAGTATTGATTAGAGACACACTTCAAGCAGTTGCTGCTGCGAAGGACTGAAACAGGTTCGAGGAACAGCTTCTTGCCGGCATTCTTGCGTTCAACTGTCATGTTCTCGGCCATGGTGTCACAGAGCTGTTGCACCATGTCCATCTTCGCAGTGTTGCCGACCGTGGTCACCTGCAGGTCGGCGAGACGTTGCAACACCCACGGCGAGGCCATAGAGCCACAGGAGATGATGGGCAGCCAAACCTTGTGTCATGCATCCGGCAGGAAGGAGTCTTGCAAGGACAACGGATGAGTCAAGCAACATCCATGCGGGATTTGGGGGAGGCATCGCAGAGGATGTTCACAGACTTGTACTTTTGCTGCTGGAGCTCCTAAGCGATGCATGCATCAAGGCGGACATGACACAGTATCTCTTGCAAGAAGAGGTCCTGCTTCAGGGCAGTCGCAGCTCTGCGAAGGAAGCGAAAGACGTAGTCGGAGACGAGCCTCAGGGACGAGCCAGTTTCAAAATCCTCGCATTTGCACTCATGCTTGTGATGAGGAGCTGCCTACAGCAGCTACTGTCAAGAAACCGGTGCTGGTGTCCCGGCTGCAGGTCCGCCAAACCAAAGTTGTTCAAGGTGTGGGAGCCATCCGCACCGAAGCCACTCTTTCTGCTCATGAAGTGTTCCATGGCGAGCATGTGCTTGGGCTTTGGCTCACGACGAAGACGGTCACCGCTCCTAAGGGCACATAATACTAGAAGACCTGGAGAGTTGAGGCCTCGAGCAAAGGGACATTGCTTGGCCGAGTGGCTTCTTGCAGGGATGATGCACGTCATCCTTGGAGGGCACTGGCATCTCTGGCGTGACGGCAGTCACGAGGAACTGGTCAATCTTCTGCGACAGGAGGTGGATGACTCGCTTCTGCACCCGGTGTGCAGGCACCTCGGCCTGCATGTGGTAGTATCATTAGCGGCTAATCCGCTGTGATTGCCCCGTCAAAGAGGGCACAGAGTAGGATGGATCAGGACCCCAAAAGAAGTTAGGATTCGCAAGCTGGCCTCGCCACAGACCTCCTGCAGGGGCACTCGCAAAATGAACCAGGCGACATTCCAGATTTTGATGCCTGAGAAGAAGAGGGGGGGACTATAGGATGTAGGCTCTGGGAAAACGCAACAGACCGGATCCCAAAACGAAGCTGGGGCACCGCCAGACAGCTTCCTGCTGCTCAAGGAGAGCTGCTGGTTTTTCCGCCACCTGGCAGTCTCCAGCATTACAATGAGAAGACTTCTTGCTGTTTGCACCTCGGAAGCCAGCCAAAGAATTCCAGAATGCGTCCCCATTGTTCGTTGTCGACCTCGTGGTCTCGTACAGACAGGTTACCTCAGTTTTTGCAGATAAGAGAAATCTCAGAGCAGAGGACACGAGCTCTTGCAGCATCGGGTCTATTGCATGACTCCGTAGTCTCCGAGCGGCAGAGGCGGTTCCGGGGCAGAAGGGCCAGGTCGAAGTCGGGCGGTGTCCCATTGTGCAGCAGCATCTTGATGCCGTTCAAGGATGCTAGCTGCAGGTCTGGTTTGCAACCTCGCAGCTGCAAAGGAGTGGCAACCTTAGGGGGCAGAAGAGCCGAGTCAAAACAGGCTGAGAGCCGCGTGCACAGTCGACTCTGCGACCAAGGCTCCATGTACCAGAACCCCAGGGGCGACATGGCATCGAAGCTAAACTTGAGGGCAAGCTCGTCCGTCTTGACTTGTTTTCCACGATAGTTCTGATTCCGTATGATGTGCCGCTCGTAGTCGACCTCCCATTTCTCGGCCATGTCATTCGTGCCGTACTCTTTCCTGAGCTGCGAGATTTCTGAATGCACAGAAAGATAGCGTACACTGGAGCAGCGGAAAAAGTGTCCATCTGTATCAAGTCTATTTCTGCATGCATGCATACGTGTGTCTCTCTGTGCTGGTGCGTGTCTGTG